TGGATTTCACACCCATTTGAGAAGATTAATAGATCATTTGGGATTTCTAGCATCATTCTTTTTATTTATCGTACCTCGTAAACATGAAAAAGTTACTTGTCAATAATGATATGACATCACAATTGTATTAAATTTTGTTTGGTAAATAACTCACAGGATAATGATTGGAAAATGTTAGAAACATCAATTTTTACTAAATGTCTCACATGGGTGTGGGACTACACCATGTGGGTCTCATACGGGTCTCACACCTATGTGAGACATTTAGGAATAGTTTGGGATGATCTAAATAAGTACATTTTTTGACTTTTTGTGAAACATGGATTGGGTATGGGTTGGGTTTGAAGTGATATGGTAAGAAAGTGATGTGACTTAAATAAAATGATGTGACGAATAGTGACTTTTTAACTTTTTTAAAATATCCCAAACAAGACCTTAATGAAAATTTAATAATTTTTTAAAAAACTCTAGCATTAGTCATTGTGATTAGCGTTTGCTAGAAGATCAATAGTTGAGTCATATTAAATGCGTGTTTTATACCAAAAAAATAAAAATAAAAATAAAATAGTAATAATAATAATAATGAAAAACATGCCAGGAGTGATGGCTTGGTTTATAGTAAAATCCCCTAATGTTTTCTGGCAAATTAAATCTGATAATTTAATTAATGAAAAATTAAAAAAAATTTAATCACAACTTTTCATATTCTAAAATTTAATTTATTTAAAATTATTTTTAACAATTATACCAAATATGTTGACATATAACCCTTCATAGAAGTTGTATATTGTTTGTCTAGTGCAATTTATTTTACATTAAAAATTGATAATTAAAAAACAAAAATAAAAAACACTTCCAACTTTCACATAATTAATCCTTTTTTTTTTTAAAAAAACTTAATTAAACTATTTATGTTTATTATATAAATTAAATTACCTTAAACAATATGATACAGAATCCCAAAATAAATTAAGATATAAGCTATTCATAGAAATTGTATCAAACAACACTTAAAAGTTTGATTACACTATTTTACTAATTTTTTTTTTTTAAATCACAATAGTCTCAAAATAAGGATAAAACAATTATATTGATTGCTTAAATTCAATTCAATTATTATAGGAATTGATGTCCGTGTCAAATGTTTCTTATAATAATACTCGATCTCAATTATTGATAGTTAATTCATTTTATATTGTCTTTCAAATCTTATTAAACTTTTTCATGATCATTGATTGAGACTGCTAGTAGAGCTACTCTAACACTATGTTTGGAACTTAAGAGATAAAAAAAAAGAAATGATTACTTAAGTAACAATAATGATTCATCTCCCCTTTTCCCCCATCCCCTTTGACCCCCTATCTCTCTTATTGGTTACTTTTTCTTTTTCTTTTTTTTCCTGCTACTCTAACACTATTTCTCTTATTTTTGTTTGGATAAGGAAGAAATAAAAGAAAAGAAATGATTGTGCTTTTTCTCATTCTTGTTTGGTTATGTTTCATTAAAAGAAAAGAAAAGAAAAGAAATTATTTTATGTTATATTACCAAAATAACCTTTTTATATTTTCAATTATTTTATTTTTTTTATTTTTGTAGGGATAAAATTGGTATTATGAAAATAATAATTTCTTTTCTCTCCCAATCTCTCCACTTTTGAGAAGATTGAAAATGAGGCTTATAAGAAAAATAAGTTTCTCTCAATTTCTCTTTATTTCTTCCCATTTCTCTCTACTTAGGTTATCCAAACAAACAAAAGAAATACATATCACTCTATTTCTTTTCTTTTCTCTCCAAATCACTCAATCCAAATATAGCGTAAATATAGATTTATTGAGCTGACATAAACTTAAAAAATAAATAAATAAATAAATAAAAAGACAAAGAAAAAAAAAGACAAATTAATACCCCTTTAATTCTCATCTTTTAGTGGTTTAAACCATTTTTCTTTCCTGATTTAGCGTATTCATGAGTTGTAGCGCTGCTGTGAATTTCAAGAATTCTTACCACGTGTCACCAAATTACTGCTCCGTCATTATTATTAAAATAAATTACAAGTATATTTTTTAAAATTTACTTAAAATACAAATTATTCTTTATAATTTTATAAATTATATTAGTCTTTTTAATTTTTAATTACATAATAAATGGCTTATTTTATTTATAGAGTAATGTTTTACAAACAAAAAATTTATATATAATTTTTATCGGGTACTTTTTCATAAATCGCTTTTCACCTACTTATATTTTATTTAGTTCATATTATTTTTTTATATTTCAATAAGTCCTATGAGTGACATAGTTACCAAAATACCCCTAACAATATTTATATTTACAGTGTGAATGTTTCGTGATGTGAATGTTTACACCGTCAATGTGAATGTTCACATGTCAATATGAATGTTCACACTATCAATGTGAACATTCACACGTCAATGTGAATATTTACATTGTAAAATATGAATGTTCACATCACTAAATTACTAACCATTCAAAAAATATTTGTAAGAGTAAAAATATCCATAAAATACTTTAAATATGAGAATTAGGATTTGGTATATCAAATGTTCAAATAATAGGACTTGTTGGAATAAAAGAATATCTTATAGAATAATTGAGATACAAACACTTGAAAAAAGAATTTTCTAATAAATCTTTCATCTTTAAATATAATGATGTGACTCATTGTTGATAATTTACTTTCAAACAAAATATCATTGTAAATAGATTCATTTATAATAATGGTATTGTCATTATTATGGAATAATGCTCAATAAATAAAAAAATTCATATAATTTTTATATATAATGACGTGACGGATTTTTTATTTTAAAATAAAATATCACTGAAGATAAATTTATTTATAATAATGGCATTGTCACATTATTTTTGTTAAATTTTTTGCATGAATTTTATGTATACGTAAAATTTTTCTTATTAATAAATTATCAAATCAATTAATTATTTTTAATGATGTATAAACTATATTTCAATTAACAATTTAAAAATTTTTATTATTATATAAGATAATAGTTATAAATTTTATTTTATTTTTTTAATTATATTAAATAAAAAAATCTAACAAAAACATATTTGGCCTTCATTGGGCAACATAGTTGAGACTAAATTAATCTATTAAAAGGCAAAATAGATTAAAAAATTAATAAAATAAAATATCACATCCAAACATAATAATTATTTATTTTTTTTCTCACAATATTATAAAAAATCAAAAGTTCATTCTAAACGGAATCTTTATAATTTTCAAAAATTACAAAAAATAATTAGTATTTTACCTAAATTTTAAGGGGTTTATTTGTAATTTATTCTTAATTATTATAATAAGAGTGCTGCTATTAATACATCATCAATTATTTTGGACCTTCTATTTTTTAGTTTTTATAATAATAACCTCAAATAAAATTATTAAATAAGATATCAATAATTTTGGAACACCCCATCTCATAATTAAGGCCACATACCCACTATATCGTGAGTTAGGGTTTATAAAAGCACCCACCTCCATCACCACTCATTCATTTTCCACAAATCTCATCTTCAAGTTCTACCCATCCTTAAAACTTTGAAAACCCTTTTGCAGCAATATTATGGAGACGTGGCAACTATTTGATTACATACATTTCTCTGGTAATAACAATGAGTGAAAGTTTTTGCAGGAACCACAACTCCATGAAATAAGAGGAGTATAGCAATAAAAACTCAAAAGAAATTCATGACTTTTATATTGTTCTTAGCTTGGATGAGATTAGTCTTGTAAGGGTAAGTTTTTTTAAAAAATGACATAAATAATAAAAAAAGGGTAAATTATAAATACACCCCCTGAGATTTATTTAATGTACAGATTGCCTCTTGTGGTTTAGAAAATTATAAATACCATCTTGTTATAATTTTTTATTTAACAGAATTAACTAAAAAATGAAATTCATAATTGTTCTCTTATGCAATAATAAAATTACCTATATTATTAATTGAAACATATTTCTAACTTTATTAAAAATTGTTAATTAACTTGATGATTTATTAATAAAAAGGCGATTTGTTATGAAATTAGAAACCTCAGGGAGTTGAATATAATTTTCAGAACCAAAAGGGGCAATTCATGTTTTAATCAAACCTCTAGGGATGTATTTGTAATTAATCCTAATAAGAATGTTCGTCATTTTTTTAGAATTGAATTCTTGAACATATGATCAGAATTCGGGAATACAAGTTCAAACATTATTTATTTATTCGAGAACAGGTAACTGAACATTTCTTATTTGTTCGAGAATAGATAATTGAAGTAACGACAGAAGCAAATAACAAATGAAGTAGGACTACCCTTGTGTGGTTAAGTGGGGGGTCAACCGTGAGTGAAATCTTACCCAGTTTTACTCACACAGAAAATATACAACTACAGTGAAGCCATAGATGAATGACAGATAACCGACCAGAGAAGCATGAAAGCGGATTGGGTAATAGAAAAAAAAAAATCAAACAGATTGACAAACCTCATAATGAAATAGAGAAAAAAACTTTTTAATTATCACAATTTTTTTTCACTAGCTTTGGGAGGTTTTACCATCGTGAATTTTATTGGAATTTTGAGAGAGAGGCATTTTGGGATGTGGGAGGTGTGCATTAAAATGAGTGAAATATTTTTACGAGGATAATTTATATATTATTTAAAGGGAATTTTTATTTAATTTTCTTTTTACCAGTTATAAACGAGGGTTAAAAAAATAAAAAAAAAATGATGTGAATCTCAAATAATTTATGAAATATTTTATCAAATTTATCACATAAGTGTGTGATCTATACAAATCTACATATATAGGTTCTATACTTATATAAAAAAATTAATAAAATATTTAATAGATTATTTAGTATTCTTAACATTATTTAAATAAAAAATTTAAAATAGTCCCTTCGTAATAATAGCAGCACTTATAATGATAATAATAATAATTAATTGTTTTTTTTTGATGATTACAAACTTTGTCATGGGGACTCACATAGTTCGTGCGCAACGGAAAGAAAAGCTGATAAAAGCAGAGATTTCATCGCATTAACGGCCGTCTCTTTCTCCGACACATTTTTTTAAAATCGAAAGCGTCGCATCACAAACCCCGCCGCCGCAGCCGCAGCCGCAGCGATCACCTCGTTCTTTCCTCCCTGAGCCACCGTAGCAGAGCCGCGGAATGGCCGAGGACTTCGTGAACGCCGTCGACGACGGCCTGAAACTCTCGAAGCGGATATACTTCGGGAAGGACAGGTCGGTGGCGCCGCCGAAGCCTATGGCGGCGATGGAGAAGTCTTCTCAGTCGTTCCTTCCTTCGTCTCCGATGGTGTACGCCGTGATTTCTGACCCTGCGATGGTTGATAATCCCGATATTCCCAGCTACCAGCCTCACGTCCACGGCCGCTGCGATCCTCCGGCGTTGATTCCTCTTCAGATGAATGGAATAGGGTTGGAGGTTGATTGTTGTTTGGACACGGCGTTTGTCACCGTTACGGGATCTTGGCGAGTTCATTGTGTTATGGGAAGCCGCCACTGCGATTGTCGTGTTGCAATTCCAATGGGCGAACAGGTAACAAACTGATTGTTTGATACATATGTTTTTTTTTTTTCCTTCTTCTTATTATTTTTTTTGTGTTTGGTAGCTGAGAAAATGTAGGAAATGACGGAAATCATGATATACTTATATGTGAAATGAATAGAATTTTGTTGTTGTGGTTGGTGGGGCAATCAATTCCACTCGATTGAGCCTATTAAAGAAGAAATTTATCCCCGAAAGAAAAAGAAAAAGAAAAAATCGTGGGAAGAAAAATTAATACTTGCAATTATTCTTTTGTTTTGGAATTCAGTTTATTGAAGGACTTGATGAAGAAAAATCTGCATAATGGTGGAAACTTGGTTGTTGAAAGGAAAAGAAGTCGAGAGATTGTTGGGGACTCTTGCACACTGCCATGATCATTCAATATATTATATTTCTGAAGAAAAGAAAACTTAAGTTAGTTGTGTATAAAGCATGGATAATATTTTGCTTTTAAATGGGTTTGAGGTTTCTTAATTAATAACTTAGTCTTTTTATGAAATAAACCACAAACTATTATTAACTATTCACAATATGTGTGCCTGACATCCGTATGGAGCATTATGCTTTTGTTTTGAAACTGGCAGTCTTTTTGAAGGACTTGATGAAAAAATCTGCACAATGGTGGAAACTTGGGTGTTGAATGGCAAAAAAAAAAGTCTAGAGATTGTTGGGTCAAATTATGTTGTGAATGAAGGAATTCCTATGGGTCTAGGACTCTCTCATCCTGCCATATTCAAAATGTTATATTTCTGAAGGAAAAAACACTTGAAAGTTAGTTGTGTGTAATGACTGGATAGCAGGGATTAAGGTTTCTTAATGAATGACTTAATTGTTTTATGAGTACTAGAGACCCCTAAGAAACTACAAACTAAATTACTAACTATTCACAAAGCACAATGAGACATGGGCCCCACATCCACATGGGGATGGGGTCATTCTGAGTTGTTGGTGTGTAGTTCATTAGGGATCTTTAGCATTTTTGTTGTTTAATTTGTCAATAATACCAATCATTATGGGTGGGGTAGTGTATTCATCTGAAGGTTGCCACCCATAGCTGAGATAGCTTGAAGTCGTATCACTATACAAAGCCAGCAGTTTTTTTTTTTTGGTTAAGAACTATACATAGGCATGCTGGGGTTTGGTTATAATGTGTTGTAGCATTGGATTGTCCTCCTTAGTTCTCAATTTGACTCATCTAGTTCTTTGCACCTTAAATCATATAAAGACCTGAGGCAGGCAGATTGGGGATCCAGTGCTTACTGTTGGAATATGGAAATATTGTATATTTGATTTAGGAATTTAATTTTAGGGTTTGATTGTGTAATTATTTAATTCCTTTTTCCATGTATGTTATATTGATTATATATAGACATAGTTTCACCCAAATTAGGGTAAGTCAATATTTTACAACTCTCTTCTGTTTAGTTGGGCCTGTGATTGGTGTGTTGTTTGTCTAGCTACTGTATGTTGTGGTTCAGGAGGGTGTGTTGGAATGTATCCCACATTGCCTAATTTGTGCTAGTTATAAGGCTCTAGTTTCCCTTTCCTTAATACCTGAGTTTTAAGGAGAAGTGTGGGTTGAACTTTTCAACTCTTACAACCAATCAGGGGATGCATATTTTAGTTTGCATAACACCTTTCAAATCATGCATTTTTTATTATTACTGGAGTGTGTGCTGAGGATATATTTGGTTTGTTCTACAATTGTTGCTGGTAGACATTTGTTTTCTTTATTCATTGCTTTGTCCTGGTGGCAAAGATTAGAGGAATTATTATTTTTACTACTAGGAATTTTTAGTAAACATTTATTGAATTTGTTTTTTTATTTTATTTTATTTTTCCATCAAGTGTTTGCATATGTCGATATGTTTGCACAAATGCACACAAATGCACACAACACATGGTTTTCCTCATTACTTATTGGTTTCTACTTTGTGCATGGTTGTGGAAGGAACAACTCATATTATGGCTTAAGGGACATCTGTATATTGATGAAGTTAACTGTCATGATGATAATGCAATTTTGAAACTCCTTGTTATTGTCCATTTGTTTTGTTAAAGAAGAACTTTGTTTATTTTTTGTTCTCAAGTAATGAATTATTTGGCTAACAGGGTTCACTTCTAGGTGTTGAGGTTGACACACCCAGAAAATCATACTGTGTTCAGCAGATTGGCATGGATGACAAAAAGGATACAGAAAAGGCTGCTAAATTTGAAATTGGGGGCTTTCTAAAATCCCACATATTTACTTTTACAATACCCCAGGTAACTAACAATTGCTTCTAATTGAGTCCTTTGCGATTTAAAGTTAATGTTGCTTTTGTTGTATTATTCATGAAATTTTATGTACTTACCTGTTCAGGTTGATGGGGGCTCCAATATCTCAATTAAAGTTAGTTGGTCTCAAAAATTGTTATATAGCATCGATCAATTGTCCTTGAGCATACCATTTAGTTTTCCTGAGTATGTCACTCCTGCTGGGAAGAAAATTTCCAAAAAAGAAAAGATACAATTGAATGTCAATGCTGGTCCTGGAACTGAAGTTTTGTGCAAGACCACTAGTCATCCTCTGAAGGTGCATCTTTGCTCAAGTTACATTGGCTCTCTATATGATGTGTTTTTTTTTTTGATAATTCCGTATCCGGCCCACTGGACTGACTAATATGGGGACCAATTCCACCAATCTGGGGACCAATTCCACCATCCACTACCGGGGAGGACCAATTAAAGCAGGAGCAAAGCCCCGTATGGATTGGCCCCACTAAATTGTTTTCACCTAGGGGATTTCGAACCTGAGACTTTGGAGGAAGCACACCCCTAGGCCCTAGGCCTTGACCATCAAGCCAATCCTTTGGGGTTGCTTTCTATATAATGTTTGATGAAATATTTGGTGACATGATTTTTTTTTGTTTTTTGTTGTTTGTGTTCCTAGGAACAACGGCGCCAAGTGGGGAAGTTGAGTTTCTTATATGAATCAGAAGTTCTTCATTGGTCAAGCAATGATTTTATCTTTTCATGGACTGTAAGACCCTAACCATATTGACTACATATTGGTTAATATTGAAATGACATAAAACTGTTGTTCCGTGGATTATTGTTCAATTAAGGATGTGGATTTAGTTTTGAAGTTTCATCGTCCTAGACATGAGCATATTTTGGGAGTAACACTTCCAATTTTGAGCTTAGATAAACTTAACTTCCTGGCCTGTCTGCATGTTTTCAGGTTTCTTCAAGTCATATTTTTGGTGGTGTGCTTTTGCAATCTCCATCTGTACTTGACTCTGATCAACGGGAGATGTTCTGCTTGTACTTATTCCCAGGAAACCGGCAGAATCAGAAGGTTTGTTTGGTACCCCTGTCTATATTCTTAGTTTTTGCCCTTTAAGTAGTTTCTTATAATTCTTTTTTCTTTCTCCCTTTTGTTTCTCTGTGAGTACTTGCATTAATGCATGCGCATATAGCCTGAAGTGATGGTTTTTGCAGTATTATGATGATTAAAGTAAGCAATCATGATGTTTGACAGGCGGTTAGTTTATAATACAAGGTAAAGAAGGGGACACCAAAGGAAGTTGGCTGAGGAAGTGAAAAATGATATGAGAGCTGTCAGTTTGATAAGAAACAAGGTCATTGATGATTGAATGGTCACAATGGAGTAATGATTCATTAGCCATCCTTGAATATGATAGGGACAGGGCTTCATTAATTTTTCTCTGATAATGGTATTGGGTAAGGAAACTGGTTATCATAAATAAGAATAAGCATTAATACATCTAACCCTTCCTAGACTCTCCTTTGGCGGGACTTTGTGGATTGGGCTGCCCCTTCTTTTATTAAGAATTTGACCTTTTTTTCTTCCTGAAGGTGACCTTCACTAGTTGTACTGGTCCTGCTGCTGCCACTGCTACTTCTGTTTTTGTTATTTATTTATTTATAATTATTAAATTATTGTCATCAGTTTTATTTTATCCAAATGGAGAAAGCTAGTTTTCATTAGCAAGATTCAGTTATCCAGGTCTAGTTAAGAAAAAGGCCAAGTCAGTTCTGTTGTGTGTGTGTGTGTGTGTGAGAGAGAGAGAGAGAGAGAGAGAGTACATATTTGTTTTGTGTGTGCAGTATATGTTTATGTTATTAAACAAAAGAGGACTGATTGATGAAACATTTACTATGAACAGATATAAAAAAGAAATGGTTGCTCAACATTTGATAAAAAGCCAATGGGTCCTATAGTATTTTTGTCTTTCGTCATTAGTCTGATATTAACATATAGGCAATTCAAGGGCAACATCTCTTTTTTATGTGTATGGATGAGTAGGATGTGCATTCATATGTATCTGTGTGTGAAAATCACTCTCAGTATAGGAAGCCATCTCAAATTGACATACTAGGCTTCTCTGGTTCCACAAAGGACGTGGTTTTCATTCTTTTTAATCTCAAATTTCTTTCATTATTTCCTTACCAACCCACAGTTTAAATTAATCTTTTGGGAGTTGTACTTATTTCATTTTATTTAATGAACTTGATAGGTTTTCAGAAAGGAAGTGGTCTTTGTTGTTGATATAAGTGGGAGCATGCGAGGAAAGCCACTTGAGGATATGAAGAATGCTCTGTCTGCGGCACTCTCAAAGCTTGATCCAAATGACTCATTCAACATAATAGCTTTTAATGGAGAGACTTATCGATTTTCGTCAAATATGGAGTTGGTAACTCAGGAAGCAATTGAAAAAGCATTGGAGTGGATTAACGTAAACTTTGTTGTAGGAGATGGTACAAATATTTTGCTTCCCTTAAATCAGGTACTGAATTATATTTTTCTGATCTTTTTTATGTGTCTGCCTTAGTTTAATAATGTTATACCGCACACAATAATCTTATGCCTCCTGACAAAACAAATAGCACATGCCTAACATGTAAAATAAATTATGAAGCAGCGACTTTTCATTGAGCTTATATTGAATAAAACTACAAGGGTTAGAATCAGTGGCCCAGGATGATACCTCAAGAAGTGAACATCCCGAGTTTGACTCCTTCATAGCTTAGACGGGTCTATAGACAATCAACTTTGTTTCCTACAAAACTGTATATAATGAAAAGTTTGATTTTTAATATTGTATGAATGCATATGCATTTCATGCTTCCTTATGTTTATCAAAGATGCTTGGATGGTTGGAGAAACACAAACACCATTCCCCTTGATTACTGCATCTTCACAATTTGCCAAGTTTTTCTCAGAGCATATGCATCTAAAAATTTCCTATTTTGTATGATCATGTGCCATGCTATCTATATCTACATTTTCACTGACACACTGTCAATTAAGTTTTAGTCAGTTAAGTTTTACTCATAGCATATAACCATTTGTATCTTTTGTAGTGTTGGTTTTTGCAATAATCCTTTTATGTCAACTCTAATTTTTTTTCCTCCTCTTGTTCAGGCAATCGAGATGTTGGCAGATACTCGTGATTCCATTCCGGTGATTTTCCTTATAACTGATGGGTCTGTTGAAGATGAGAGACACATTTGTGATGTTATGAAAAGTCATTTAACAAATCGAGGATCTATATGCCCACGTATTTACACTTTTGGCATAGGTATTGGTTTTGGTGTTAAGTTTCCACTTTTACATTCTTCCAAAACTTTTAGTTTCATAAACTATCAACAATACTAACCAGATTAAAATTTGTTTTGAATCACTTTCCAACATGGGAAACAGTGTTCTTCGCATAATTCCTTGTTCTTTGCCCTTTTTAATTATCATTGCTTATTTGCATGTTTGTATTGGAGATAGATTCATTATCCTTCTAACTCAGGTGTTGCTCCTTTTATCACTTACCTTGCACATTATGGGCATATTTGGTATCAATTATAAGTTAGTTTTTATGATTCTAGCCTTTTGGATTATTGTCTTAAAGAATTAAAATAAGTTTTAAAATATGTTTAGTGCAACTTTTGATAATTTGTGAAAAAAATTGAACCTATTTGGTCAAATAAACTGTCACATAGCTTTTTTATTATGCAAATATCTAGAATGCCCTCATAAGTCAAATAAGAGATGGGGCTCTTTTGTCCGCATGTGTTTAACAGTTTCAAATAAGCAAAAAAATATTTACAAATTGTAACTTAAGAAAATCTCACTTTTTTTGGTCAAATATACTACAAAAGTCAAATAAGTTATAATTTAAAATTGCAACCAGAACCATTAGTCAACTTTTTTTTTTTTGAGTAAAAGCTAATGTGTTAACTAATATGTCAAGGTTGATTTCGACTGTGATATCTGGATTCCTTTTTCTGATTCTTAATCATGCACCACTGTCATATATTATGGTCCTATTTGCTTAGAACGACCTTTTCTGATAAATACTTAAAAGAATAAACACAATTTACATTAAGGTTTTTGTATTTGAGGTATAGCTTTGCCTTTTCCTTTTTGGACCTTGCAATTGACTTGTCACATATAATTTTCTAGGTACATTTTGTAATCATTATTTCTTGCGAATGCTTGCAATAATTGGGAGGGGTCATCACGATGCTGCTTATGATGCAGGTAAATTTTGTGTTTCACAATGTTAATTCATTCAATTTTCTTCAAGTTGCCCAGAACTTTTATTGTTCATGCAATTCTGTTGACCATGTGTCTTTTTGAAATAATTCTTCTTGATCGTTTGGAGAGAATACACATATCGCATAATGGTGTAAAAAGAATTTCTCTCTAGTTATGTCAATGGTATTTGGCTTGACATATTTGTTGATGATGTTTGCTTTGCAGTTTTGTGCATCTTAGTCTTCACTTTATATCTTTTAATGGATGAATTTGGTAACAAAAAAGTAATAAACAATTTTTTGGATGATTTTATAGTGGGTGCTTGGTTTAAAATTATATTTAGTGGTAAGGATAGACACAAAAATGGAGTAGGAATAACCAAGAGTCTTGTGGAAAATGTAGTTGCAGTCATTAGGAAATGTGATAGGATTATATTAGTTAAACTAATTATTGGAGAGAATATAGTGAACGTTATTAGTGCATATGCCCCCAAGTAGGATTAGATGATCAGACTAAGAGAGATTTTTTTGGAGCAAATGGATGAGGTATTACAGGAGATACATGTATGAGAGAACTTTGTTATAGATGGAGATTTCAACGGTCATGTAGGAATAGATAAACTAGGTTATGAGAGGGTGCGTGGTGGGTATGGTTTTGGTGATAGAAATGAGGTTAAAGAGAGTATTTTAGATTTTGCGTTGGCTTCTGACCTAGTGGTGGCCAATACTATGTATAAGAAGAGAGAGGAGCATTTGATAACCTTTAAGAGTGGGTCAATTAGAAGCCAAATAGATTACATTCTAGCTCTGTTATTAGAATCTTACGATTTGCGATTCGATTCACAATTTTTGTAAAATCGATATGAATCTCTGGGTGAATCTATTTTGAAAGTGAATTTCTAGTGAATTGCACGACTTATAATCGATTCATGATTCGATTCGTTTTTTACGATTCATGCAATTTTTGAAATTATTGTGTCTGACATATTATCGATTCTTTTTTTCTCTATATTTTAGTGAAAATGACATCATTGTTTTAAAAGGCGTGCTTCGCGCCTAAGCGCGAGGGGCAATGAGGCGCAGCCTTGCGCTTTGAACAGATCGAGGCGAGGCGCAACATGCAAGGCGCAGCGTAGGCGCTGAGGCGAGGACTTTTTTTCGAGGCGCAAGGCGTGGGCTTCATGGGCTTTACCCATTTTTCTACTCCAATTGTTGATTAAGTGCTTTTTTTGTAGACATACCCACAGGGATTCAAAACTATTCAATATAAAATGACCAAATGTAGTCATAAGAGAGCAAAAAGTGATAAAAGATTGAATGTTGTACTTTATATCTTTTGTTGGATATTATATTTCTAATTTTTAGAAGATTGAATGTTATGTTTAGAGATTATTAAAAATGGTTATGATTTTTTAAATATTATATATATATTTGTTATGTTAAAAAATTAACCTATTTTATAATTTTGCTTTTCTTCTACTACTTGAGCTTCGCTTTGGTGAGGCGCGCGCTTCGCCTTTCGCCTCGCGCTTCGCGCTTAGGCTATAGGAGACCTTATCGCCTTGGTGCGCCTAGAGCCTTTTAAAACACTGAATGACATAATACAACTTTTAATAGCATTTAAAACCAAACTAACTAACATATATACATGATTTATTGTTGTTTTAGTGATCATGGAGTTTTTAATAGGATCTAATTAGATTCAGTCAGACCCAACATATTTTTAACCTTTCTTTTCATTTTTTTTCACTTTAAAAAATCATAATATATTTTCTAAAGAAGTTTAAGATTAAAGTTACATTATGAATTATCTATTGCTATTTTTAGTAAATTGAATATAATTAAATATTATATGTATGAGGTCAGTTATACCTTTTAAAATGTTTTAGGTTTTAAAATAAAATATTCTAAATAATTATTTCTTATTATTTGCTCACTGTTACTTAGAAAATTATGTATACTTATTGTTTAAATATCAATATCGTTATTAATTATTGTTGCTTTGAAAATTGATAATTTGTCTATTTGGTTATATTATCTTTATTAAGAATGGTTGATAAGAAATATTTAAAAAAAGAAAAAAGGTAAGATGGTGATCTTATATAGGAACTTTTGTTAACTTCTACCTATTAAATTACGTGATTATCATTCAAAATAACATTTTTATTGATTTAAGTCTAAATATTTCATATTTATAAGATATATTTAACATCTAAATGTATAAACATATTTTTAAGTAATTTAGAAAAAGTGACTGAGGCCTCGTTTGGCAAGAGGCTATTTTAGCCAATTAGCCAAAAAGTTACTAAATTAGCCAAAAAGCCAACAACCCATACCAAAAAGTCAAAGATTCTCTTTTCTCTCTACTTTTTGCACATCTTTTCGTAATTAGCCAAAAAGTCATCCCAAACAGACAAGTTTTTTTTACCTACTTTTTTAGCCAAATAGCCAAAAAGTTACTAAATTAGCCTGTTCCCAAACGAGGCCTGAATCTTTACGATTCACAATTCGATTTGATTCGTGATTCGATACGAAACCATTTCAATTCATGATACGAATCCCGATTTGAAAACTATGCTTTCTAGTAAGAAAAGTGGACCATCTTAAATGTAGTAACTGTAAGGTGATTTTTGGAGAGAGCTTGATGTCTTAACATAGGATTTTGGTACTAGTTTTATACTTTAAAGGGCAATACCAAGCTAGGAAGGATAGTGGGTGTTGTAGGATGAGATTGTGGGCCCTAAAAGGGGATAAACTAGAAATATTTAAGACTAGAATTGATGAAGAAGGTACTTAGGACTTAGAAGATGATGCTAACAATATGTGAAACTTGATGGCCAATTGTATGAGGAGAATCTTAAGGAAAGTCCTTGGAGAGTCGAAAGGAAAAGGACCCAACTCTAAGGGTGGTTGAGAGATGAGGTTTAAGCGATAGTAAAGACGAAAAAAGGGTGCTTTTAAAAGTGGTAGAAGGATAAAACTGAACAAGACCTTAAGAGCTACAAACTAGGGAATAAGAAGGTCAAAAAAGTAGTGAGAGAGGCTAAGTTGAAAGCCTATGATGACTAGATAGTAAAGAGGGAGATAAGATACAAACTTGCTAAGATAAGAGGAAGGAAACAAAGAGATTTTAATCAGGTTAAGTGCAGCAAGAGTGAGGACTCCAAGGTGTTGGTGAAGGATGAAGAGATTAAGGAGAGGTGGAAGAATTATTTTGAGAAGTTGTTAAATGAGGAACATGGAGGAAGGTCAAAAGGGGAGGTGTAGCCAACTAAAAAGCATGGACACGGACATGCAGATACGTAAATTTTCAAAAAATGCAGGACACGACATGTTGGGGACATGTTCAAAACATATATTTTTATTATACGTATATTTTTAAGTATTTAATATATATTTTATGTCAAATATTTAATTTTATCAAATTTATTAGCTTTAGGTATGCTATTTTAGTAAAAAAATTAAAAAATTTAATTTTTTTTGAAAAAATTGGTACTTAGCGTGTCCGTAGCGTGTCTAAAGCTTTCTAGCATGTCCGGCCCCTATCCGTGGCCGACACGTGTCGGACACCTATACGCGACCTCCGAAGAGGTGTCCATGCTTTATAGGTAGCCAGTAGTAAGGAAAATCAAGGCTGTAGATTTTATCGCAGTATTAGGAACTTTGAAGTGGAGATTGTACTTAAGAAGATGAAATCGAATAAGGGTTTAGAACCCAATGACATCTCTATTAAAGCTTAGAAATGTTTGGGTAAGAAGGGGGTTGCTTGGTTGACTAGGTTATTTAGTAAGATTTTGTTGACTAGGAAAATGTCAGAGAGTGGAGGAAGAGTATTTTTGTGCTAATCTATAAGAATAAAGGAGATGTTCAGAATTGTAACAACTATAGAGGAGTCAAGCTGATGTGTCATATAATGAAAGTGTGGGAGAGAGTGATGGAACATCGATTGCGAGATATCACAGAGGTGTCAGAGAATCAATTTGGATTTATGCTCGGTAGGTCAACAATGAAAGCGATTTATCTTTTGAGGAGAGTAATAGAAAAGTATTGAGAGAAGAAAAGAGACATTCATATAGTTTTTATCGATATTGAGAAAGCATATAATATCTCGGGATATAATTTGGTGGGTGTTAGAGAAGAAAGAGGTGATAAAAGGCCACATTGATGGGATTAGGGACATGTATGAAGGTGTGGTGACCACTATTAAATCGCCAGTTAGAGAGCCAAGTGAATTTCCAATTACTGTGGGGTCACACCAATGTCCTTATCTTTTTGCTTTAGTTATGGATGAGTTGACGAGAAATATTCAAGATAATGCGTCAAAGTGAATTTTTTTGTAGATGATATCGTGTTAGGATGAGACTAGAGAAGGAATGAATACTAAGTTGGAGACTTGGAGAGAAGCACTTGAATGTAAAGGATTTAGAATAAGCAGAATTAAGACAGAGTACATGGAGTGTAATTTTAGTAACAGTAACAATGGAAACAGAGGAGAAGTGAAGATTGAGAACCAAGAACTGCCTCAGTAGTGAAGAGATGCGATACAGTGATGATAGATGAAAGTAGTAGGGGAAGGGGCAGACCTAGATTTGACGGTACATGTTGGCTAGTATAGTCAATACAAATATAAATCTCAATTTGATTAACCAAATGGCCTTTGATAGAGTCGAGTGGAGAAGAAGGATTCATGTAACCGACCCTATTTGATGGGACTAACTGACCCCGTTTGCTTGGTTGGTTGGTTGGTATAATGTGTATAATCCAATCTGAAGTTAGATACTCTAAGTTACTGGAGAAACATATCACTGACATTGTGGTCATGATGATTCTGGTAATGATTTCATGAACTTTAAAGTAAATTTGCAAGTGGTTGCATGTGCTGCTGCTCTATTGGCTCTGTTACATGGACTCACAGTTTCTCGGCAAATATCAGTGTCAACATGACACAACACCGACATGTGTGTGCGGAATATAGCTTGGACATGACACTTTAAGGATACGGCTGCCCAAAGCATATTGAGGAAGATGAACTACAGACAGTAAGAAACATAGATCAGGATAGATTGAGGGAAAAAAAAAAACAGATCGGGGCACAGTAGACTCCGATCAACGTTGATCGAAGCAACATTGAAGAAGTGAAGCCATTGTCAATTGACAGAGAGAGAGAGGTGAGGAGTTTTTGCCGAGAGAGAGAGAGGAAGGAGTTTCTCAGGTGCAAAAAAGGCATCATTGATTGAAGAAGAAGCCATTGTTGCTTCTTTTTTTTTTTTTTAAATCAATCCATTTAGTAGGCTGCTGCAGTCACATGGGGCAGATGGCAAAGATCATTAGGCCCAAAGTATTTGATTTTATTTTAGAGAAGACACATAATGGGCCTGCCCACACTTTATCACTGTGTTTGGGCCTCAATAATTCTATAACGAAAATATATATCGGGTCTGCTTTGGGAATTCTTCGTATTACCAAACTCTAATCCAACCAGTTTCACATAGTCCAAACCAAAATTCTGCAGTAATATAACAAAAAAAAAATCAGATTCAGCACCCAAAAAAATACAGGATGAAGACGGAAAAAAAAAAACATAATAAGAAGAGACACCTGTTAACTTTTTTAATACTTTTTGTTGTATCCATGTACCCATATCTAATTTTTGGATAGATTTTAGCCAAGTCCACGTATCCTTTATTTAGAGATTTGATGCGTCCGAACCCCAGATACATATCAGTCAACTTTTCACTAGCTGAGCAAGGTGATTTTTGATGAACTACAAACCATGTGAATGTGATTTTCAATCAACACTTAAACTGTTATTCTGGTTGAAGGATTCCTTGGAAAAGGTCCAATGAGGTGCTTGTTTTGCTGGCTTTCAAGAGGGTAGCCTGGTTATTGAAAAGGTCTAATTAGGTGCTTGTATTGCTGGGTAGCCTGGTTATTGTGCCAGTGCTTAGGTAATTTTTTAATGAGAATAACACTATTGGTTTTGATAAGATGATACTGCATTCCTGTAGGAGGTTCAAATTTTCTTAGACATGTCCAGGGACAGATTAAGTTAGGTCCAAACAATTTCTATTTTCCAAGTGTATGCAAAGAACACCGCCTGTTTGTTGGCCTTGTGAGCAGTCCATGGAAACATGGTAATTGAATTGCTGATGTAAAATTATTGATTATAATGCATGCACATGAACTAGACCTTTGTAAATTCAAAAGTTTGGACTTTTGCAATGTTAAAATTTGCAATCATATAAGGACCAACTGGATCAGTTTACTCCATTAAGTGAATGCAAGAGATCTTGTATTACTTTTGGATTTCCTTGGATGGGTTGGGCAAATGAGGCCCTCCCCTTCTATAGGTTTACAAAGAATATCCCAGAACCCAGAGGATTAAGAGTATTCTAGATACTACTCCCACCTCCTCTAATAGACTATTCTAGAATGTACATGAATACTATCTATATGTTTAGAATTAAGTACAGGTCTTTATATCTGTCTGCAAGACTCTAGGGGACTCTAGAAAGTTCCATTAACATCTAGAGCCTTCAAGTGCCTTCTAGAGTCTTCCGGTGAGGGATGGCCTCCCAAATTGCAAGGCTGTGATACATGGGCTGTCCTTTTGTGTCTTTGGCAGTTATGACTTCTAATAGTAACAATAGTTATCTTGTTCATTATTTGCTATTGAAAGTTTATAGATGTTATGTTAAATCTAATGCTTTTCTAACCAATCTTGTTGTTTGGTCAGATCCAATTGAGGCTCGCATGAAAGCATTTTTTGGTAGAGCTTTATCCACCACTTTTGCAAATATAGCCTTTGACACCATGGAAAATGTTGATGAGCTTGAGGTATGGTTGCCCTGAGTTGTTTTCTTCCTCTGCATTTCATTCAACATATCAAAACATAATTGCAACCTCTTGTTAGATTTTCAACGAAGTAGTCACTTGCTTGTAAGTCATAATATAATACACATGTCAGTTCCCTCATCCTATTTGTGCACTCATCTCCATTGGGTTAAGAATTATTCTCTCCATCCCATATTTGTTTTCCACTATGGAAGTCCAAGTTTTTAAGGAGACAACAATTTAATGCATCACTCGAATTGTAAAGCATTAATTTTCTAAACTATCCCTATATTACAAACTAGTAGATCCATTCACACTCATCCTAAAGGGATAATTTTATAAAAACATAAGATTATGTACCTTGACCCCCCCTTTTTTTGGATAAGTAATGTTAAAACCTATCACCTACTTCACCCACTTAAACCTACTCCACTAAACCTAACCCACTACACCGGTAACATGGTACAAGGGCCCAACCCTTCTTGATGCCCTTGACATGATTACAGAGCCCAAGAGGCCATCAGACAAGCCTCTTCGTCTGTATGACACCCCCATACAGTGTCCTGCTACATCGGTCCGACATGACCCCGTAAACTGTTCTTCTACAACGGTCCGACATGACCTCGTAAACTGTCCTGCTACAACGGTCCAACATGACCCCATAAACTGTCCTCTACAACGTTATGACACTCCCATACAGTGTCCTCTACAACGTTATAACACCACCATCCAGTGTCTTCACCAATGGTCTGACACGACCATACAGTGTCTCCTATCCTCTTTTATTTTTATGTATTTTCTTGTTTTGTTACTCTCTCCAAACTCAAGTTGGCTAGTTCCTATCCCCCTTGAGTTTGCGGGGGGCTGTTAAAACCTATCACCTACTTCACCCACTTAAACCTACTCCACTAAACCTAACCCACTACACCACTACCACCTCACCTACTCCACTAAACCTAACCCACTACACCACTAACACCTCCACTTCATCTACTCCTTACCTACTACACACTCATCCTCTTCTATATATAGGAATCATGAATCATTGTAATAAATATAACAAATACATCAATCAATAATACAATTCTCTTTTTCTCTTTATACATTAAATTTCTACAAGTAATTAAAGTACCATGACTGTTCAAATGGACAACTGTTTTGGGACATTGTAAAATGTAAAGGTGGACAAAAATGCTACTTAAAAGTGTATTATACACACCCTTTCATTTTCACGACACTATTTTTGTTCTACATGCAATTTTTTAGTAACTTCAGAGTTTCTTTTTCATTTATTTTGTTGTTCTGTCATGCTGGTCTATTCTTTACCCTTTATGTGCTGAACTATCAAGGGATTTTTACTTAGTTGATGTTTTTCTTGTCGATCATATCTAGCTCTATAAAATTTGCCTTGTCATTTTGATTCACCTCCATAAGATTTAACAAGGAATTCCCAAAATCCTCATGACAGGTGTATCCTTCTCGTATTCCAGACCTTTTGTCTGAGAGCCCGTTGATTGTATCAGGCAGATACAAGGGAGATTTTCCTGAGACTCTCAAAGCTAGAGGGATCCTTGCAGATACGAGCAATTTTGTTGTAGATCTGAAGGTACAAAAGGCAAAGGACATACCTATTGACAAGGTAAGATGCTGACTAATGAGATTATTGTTTTTGTGTTATTCAATCTTCATTTGTGTTGTAGTTTATTTTATTGTGTTATTTTTCTTTCGAACCTCAATATAATTGATAATTCGTTTCTGGTAAACTAGATACTGTAGAAATTAGTATATAGCTTGGTGGCTGTGGCTTTATTTTTATGTCCCAGTACAATAAGTTATAATTCCTGCTTTTGATTATGGGCTAACCCAATTGTGTTGATCAATTTTGGAGCCTTCATTTGTTGGATTTCACTTGTATATTTGATTTGGTAATGGTTTAATTACATCTCTCATTCAATCCTAATTGATTACTTCACCAATCCGGGAGGAATAATCTCTCATCATATTGCAGCAGGGGTGTTGGACATATTAGCAGGTCTATTCCATCTTATCATTTGCCTGCTCCAAGTGTTTTTGCCAATTAAATTACTGTTTAGCTTGTTGGGTTCATTAATACTATTAGTTAGGTTGGGTGTTGGAACTGGCTAGTTCCTAGAGTTGTCCACTTCTTTCCTGTCTGCTCTGCTATATTGTTCTATTGGGCTCTTTTTGTAGCTATTATTCTTAGGTGAAAACCCATTCAGTGCTAAATCACAAAACATGTGGACATATATGATGTTGCATCATTTATGTGCTAATGGGTGTTGCTCTATGTGACAGGTTCTTGCAAAGCAAGAAATCGATCTGCTCACAGCCCAGGCATGGTTCTCAGAGAATAAAGAGCTTGAGGAGGAGGTTCGTTATTTGATGCTATTCCAATTCTTTTTGTAATCACAAAATACAGAGCGTTGTTATAGACTTTTTTATGAAATGCCTACCTATTTCTTTTCCGGTCATTCAAGTGGTGGTGTTGAGTAATGAAATGATTATATATAGGATTATGATCACCTATTGATCCATGTCTAGTCCTACCTCCTGTTACTTGTTATTTAATGCACTAGAAGTCTCCTTGTGTCCCACTAGGTTTGTGTTCTTAAATACAAGGTCAATTGCTTAAGCTATTATCCTTTGATTTGCAGATAGCAAGAATGAGCGTAAAATATGGTATTGTGTCAGAGTATACCTGTATGATCTTGCTCGAGACAGAGAGAGGGAAGAATGACACAGAATCAACTGGAGCACTGGAGGTATACATTTATCTATGACCTTAGAAAGATATCTCTACTCGCCTATAATCAAAATTGTGGGGGGTTATCCCTTGGGGGTGGGGGAAACACAAGTATTTCACTAAGATATTTTCAATCTATGAAGCACGGACACTTCAAATTAGTCACCACCATAATCATGTCCGACACTTGTCGCACACCTACATGCTTTGGACATGCTGGGACACATGTCGAACATGCTGCATGTTTCAATTTTTTGTTATTATTTTCCTCATTGGATATATTAGAGACACATCATGGACACACGTTTCATTTGACTTGTGGTTATTTATTTTTTATGGAGAACCCAATCATTATTAAATTAAATACGCACATTTGTGATGTATTGATTTATGATTGATAAAATAGTGTTTTGTCATCAGAATCTTATGATTCGCAGTTCGATTCGCGATTCGACTCGCAATTTTTGCAAAATCGATATGAATCTATAGGTGAAGTGAATCTCTAGTGAATCGCACGATTCAGTGAATCGCATGATTCACTATCGATTCATGATTCTATTCATTTTTTACGATTTATACAATTCTTGAAATTATCGTATCCGACATATTTTCGACTTTTTTTTTCTCTTTCTTTTAGTAAAAATGACATAATACAACTTCTAATAGCGTTTAATGCCAAAATAATCAATATATATATATACATGATTTGTTGTTATTTTAGTGATCATTGAGTTTTTAGTAGGATCCAATCAGATTCAGTCAGATTCAACATAGTTTTAACCTTTCTTCTCTTTTTTTCCTTTTAAAAAATCATAATATATCTTCTAAAGATATTTAAGATTAAAGTAATTTACACCATGAATTATCTGTTGCTATTTTATTAAATTAGATATAGTTTAATATTACATGGGTGAATTTAGTTATACCTTTTAAAATGTTTTATGCTTCAAAATAAAGATCCTAAATAATTATTTCTTATTATTTGGTCATTGTTACCTCGAAAAGTATGTATGCTTATTGTCTAAATATCAATATTGTTATCAAATTATTGTCACTTTGAAAATTAAGAGTTTGTTATTATTTACTGTCTTTTATTAAGAATGGTTAATAAGAAACATCTAAAAAAATGGAAAAGGTAAGATGGTGTTCTCATATAGGAACTTTTGTTAACTTATTACCTATTAAACTACGTAATCATCATTCAAAACAACATTTTCTTTGATCTAAGTCTAAATATTTCATATTCATAAGATATATTAACATTAAGTGCGTAGATATATTTTTCTAAGCAATTTAAAAAAAGTGACCGAATCTTTATGATTCACGATTTGATTCGATTTGCGATTCCGTACGAGACCATTTCAATTCATGATTCGAATCTGTATATGTATCTGTATCCGTATCCCTTCTTAGTTTTCAACTTATTGCAAGAGATCCAAAATCCATCAACTTTGATTCAGAAAATTTGCACATAGACATCTAAATCAGTATAGAGAAACTTCGATTAAAAAATTACTGCCATTTTTATCAGAATCTATATGAACTGTTAGGAGATTCTGTTATCTGGATTTAATTTATGGTTGAGAATTGGTTTGTTCTCACTCATTGATTAGGGTTTCACATCTCATGCTTGCTTGTCTAATATTCATTAGTTCCAACATTTTTGATGAACTAAGATGAAACCAACATAAACAGGCGGCACCTAGCAGGGTTGAACTACAAAAGATGGTAGACTCAAAAGGCCAGAAGATAAAAATGCTGCGAAGCCTCGGGATTGGCTTTGGCAACTTGACTGCAACTACTGAAAACACCTCTCCAGGATCTGAGGAAGATAAATTACCAGAGGCTGCTGAAATGTTTGTCAAGGCAGCCTCCAACTGTTGCGGCAGGATATTTGGCCGCTGCTGCTGTATGTGCTGCATCCAGACTTGTTCACGGATGAATGACCAATGTGCAATCGCACTCACGCAGTTGTGCGGTGCACTAGTGTGTTTGGGTTGCTTCAGTTGTTGCGAGGTTTGTTGCTCTGGACGTGAAGGATGATGATAAAATCGAATCATAGACATATCTACCAAAACTCTTGACGTACCCTTGTGTTACAATATTCATGATACATGTAAATAGAGGGTCATAGTTTTCTCCTTTGTATTTTCTCTCGGATATCTTTCTCGTGTCTTTTCTTTTAACCGGTTTCACTTGAATCGATCCAACATGCCTCTGATCCATGTTATCGTGCAAATTTGGCAACATAAATGGAAGGTTCTAGAATTTTGAAATGTACGTGACGGTGAGCCCATATGTACAAGCACATGAAGGAAGTGGAAGAACAATGATATTGTGTAATTCTAAATCTGTTAATTCTTCATAGAGGTGTGTGATCTCTCCATTTGTGATTGTGTAAATCTTCTTAGAGATTCTTATAAATACCTATTATTGTGAGGCAACTACATTTGTTTACATGTTCTGATAATGGCAAATAAGTAAATGATTGCTTGTGAATGTGAAGGAGATGACAGGTGAAGGGTGCTCATCCTACAGTTTTTATTTTTATTATTTTTTTGAAATTGATGCCCAAATCCTTTGAAAGAGCTTCATAGGCAGTGATGAGAATTCTCATTACTAGCAATAAAATTTATTTATAAATATTATTCAAGCATTTAATTTCGCTAAAAAATTCACTACCCCAAAGAGAAACATTGATTTCATACTTGTCCTCAAACATCCTAATACTACGCTCCAACCAAATAACTTGTAGAAGTAAACAGAAGACATTGTTGGTGACAGTCTTCAGAAATAGATCAAAAAAGCAACCATAAAACCCTCTTATCTAAATGAAATTTACCATGAATATTTTGTTTTTAAAACAAAAAACTGATATCTACCCCTATAATCACTTGACAATAATCTTTTTTCTTTTTGTTTTGTTTATGTGTCTTCAGCTCTCATCTCGACGACTGCTATCAATAATTACCTTTTCTTCAGAAGTAAAAATGTGAGATCCTGATCCCCCTCCTGTAAGAACATGTTCCTCAACTTTAACTTCTCGCTCTTCTTTCTCATCATCTGACCCCATTGATATTTGGTGGAAAGTTTCCTGGATCTTGGTCATGCCCTTTTCCACTGGTTCAAACGCTTGATTTATGGTCAACACGACGTCCTTCACCACCTGCTCATGCAATCACATGTAAATTGTAATTACAGACCAGAAAGAAACAATGATGGAAGAACTAACTCTTAAACTCTAATTATAATAGTAAACTTCCGGAAAAGCCTAATTCCAAATATAAACTTCGCACACATAAATATGGAAGAATGAATTAACTCACATGTTGACCGCCTTCAACAACAATGTCTTGAATGCTTTCTTTGACACTCGTTCCAGGAGCCTTGACCTCAGTCTCCGTCTTTTCAAGGATGGCCGGTGTTTCCTTATCACCCTCCTCCTCTAACGTCAGCATTGCTTTGGTTGTTTTGGTGGTAACCTTGCCATGCTCCGAAGCTGGCAAGTATTGATAGGGTTTCGCTGAGAAGACGAAAACATGAGCAACAGCTGCAATAGCCATCTGTTGAACCCAAAAGATATCAAATGACCAAAAAAACAAAAAAGAGAGCAAACAATAAAACAATGGTTTTAATTCTTTTAGCTTCTATTTCATTCATTTTTTCCTTGATCCGTGATCCAAACACAGCCTAAGTACACACAGATTTTCTTAACAACACAATTCAGAATCTCCTATTGCAGCACACAAACAGTGTCCCTTCTCTATATTCCAAGGTATGTATCTAGGGGTAGAATATGAAGAAGCATAAATGAATACAACAAATTACATAAATTTCACAAATCAAAGTGCCCAATCAATGGTTGGGTACCCAAATGTTTATCACCCACCTTTCTATGAAATTAACAAAACATATATTATAATCCTCTTCAGAAGAATTGTATAGTTCATTGCGCTTATTTACTGCTAGACGAAATTATAGAAAAGCAAAGTGCTCCATTCAACGGTTTATTTGAAAAAAAGAAACTCAAAAATCTGTATCACATAAATTCTTAAGGTCACCTAGGAATTCCCAATGTTCAGTTCAAAGATGTTACCATGTAACGATATCATACTTGGACGGCCCCGAAATAGTTTATCCTATCCACATTACTTGCCAACATCACTGCCTCCAACTCATCTTTTTATTCATTCAGTTACTTTTGTTGAAAACTAAGTTACTTGCTATATATTTTCAAACTATATTTTTGCCAATACTACAAATGGTTTCTTGAAACTTTGGGTGTGAAATTTCATACAGGAGCGTTTGAGTTGTTACGAAAGAAACTGTTTCCAAAATTGTAAAAGGGTAACTTACTTCTATGCAGATTAAAAAATCCTGCAATCCAGTCTGTAATTTTCCTTCCTTGGGCAAAACCCCAAGATTACACAATAAAGCAATACCCACACCTTGCCACCAAGTAGCAAACACAATAGCCTTGAAGCTGATAAACTTTGCAAGTGGTTTTATATGTTGAAGTCTTTCATGAGTAACATTATAAAACTTCACTAGGCAATACAATGCCCACATCTGGCTGAAGTTCAGTACCACTGCGATGTATGGGTACCTGCAAGAGAAAGATGCTGGCTTTCATTTTTTGAAGGACTAACATGGAACCACAAGGAAAGCTTGGGAAAAATATATATTGAAACTAAGAAAGAACAATCAAATTTGTCACAATTCGCTCTACAATGCAAGTTACGAGACATGGAGTAAATTAACCTTAAATAATTAGAAACATTTCAAAGTTTCCGTCATTGGGAAAATACTATTTGACTTTAAATGTTGATAATTGAAGTCTTCTATTGGCAAATGAAAATAAGAACGAAAAACTCAAGGGTTTGTTTGGTTTAATTTTGAAAATTTATTTTTTGACTTTTTTTTAGTATGTCTTTAGTAACTTTTATAAAAATATTTTAATTAATTTTTTAAATTTTTTTGATGCATCATGCACCTAATATAGATGCTTGTAATTGTAAAAAACACTAAAATATGAAAAAAAATCACTAAAGAAAAAAGAAAACCAAAAAAGGCAACACATTCCCGTGTTTTTTGTCTTTAGCAAACTTTTTACCGAATTCTTCACATATATTTTAGTTTTTGTTTGCATCTAAAAAGGGGGAAAAAAAAAAATCCAACTAAAATAGGAAAAAGTGTGCTTTCACAACAAATTGTAGTTATACATCTCAACATATGGTTCTATTACCTATATGCATACACAAATTTCAGTAATAGAAGTTCTGTTAAATTTTAAACAATACTAACCCATAGCACCACTTGAACTCTCCATCACCATATACACCACAGAGCTCCAATATTAGTGCCAAGAATGCACAAAAAGTCTTCAAAATCATCTGGGCTATCCAGAAACAATAGAGTTCAGCAAACTCAACATCAAAACGTAGAAAGGATAGTTTTTTGGGACTTACATACTGCACAAGACCAAATTTCTCTATTGTCAGCAAGTCTTTTCCGAGCACACTTGGTTGGATGAAAAAATTGCAACATCTTCTTTCTTTTGACTTTGGTTCGTCATCTGCTCCTTCTAGTAATGGCTTGCTGAGCAGTTTTCTTGATTCATCTTCAAGTAGCTCTATCACTTTTTGTTCACCACCTAGTACAAAATATTTTTTCCGTCAAGTTTCTTTTATTGCAACAGCTTGTCAAGAAAGACGTTCCAAGGATCATCCAGAAATCAAATGGGAATTTCGTAAAAATTGTTTTATCTTCTAGCTTTGAGAAAGATACTAAACCACTGACAAATACGATGGCACTATCACATAAAAAAGAAGAAGATCATGCAACCAATATATTCTTAAATGTTACACTTCCCAAATTTGATCTCTCAATGAAACAAAATAACTTCCCGATTTGAAGCCAAATCTCTCTCGTCTCTTCTTTCTTTCTTATGTCTGTTTCATAGGGGGGGGGGAAGGAAAGAAAAAGGAAAAAAAGCCCAAATTGTGTAGCTTACCAAGGCAGGCAATCAGGTAACTCCCAAAAGAATACAAGGCAAATGCTTCATAGCAGTTTCTTAAAATGTCACATGCCAGGGACCATTTTGGGTTGCACAAGGATAAAATCTGGAAAAGGTAAGAAAATGATTAGATTAATTTACAGGAAAATCCAAAATGCCAACCAAGAAATGTCCCTCTTTTCTCTCTTTTTCTGTATCTCTAATTTTTATTACGTTACTTGATTAATTGGCTACATGTTTTTATTTTTTGCCCCCAAATTACTGCTTGTATGAAATTTATGTCTGAATAGAGATTTGAGTATGGATTCTTTTATACTGGAATATGCACAAGTCCACATAAATAGTACTAAACATGCAATGACGATGTAGAAAACTCACATTTGACCACAAATGACTTGTTGCATAAGAAGCATTCTAGTATATGTTTGTGTTAACTCGAAGGTAAGACAGTCAAAGAAAGATTTTATCAATTGAATGGATTAGAGATGGAATGAGTAGTCATTGCACTTGATTGCTAATTTGATATACACACAAAGAACGATCAAGAAGTAAAAATCAAAGATGTCATACATATATGCTATTAAAGAAACTATGAATTACTTTAAGACCGGTAGATACTTACTGATTCACTAGCATATATAGGAACCATGAGAAGAACCGCAACAATCCATTTTTGCTCCTGGAACGAAACTGAATTAAGATAGTTTAAGGATACCATTTTGCACAACAAACATTCACAACCTTATTTAATACCCTTCACCTTATAGCTTCAGATCTTATGAAATGAAACAAATCAAACTTTTGGAATGTTAATTCATGAACAATTTCATTAAAAAAAAAGGGACTCGTGATTTAAACCTCAATATTATTTTAATTGTAATTTCCAACAATTCCCTAGACTAAGGAGCATCAGCAACAGATCCACCAAAACAATGCAATAGTTCTGTTCAATTATATAGAATTCCATAGAGGACAATGTTTCAAGTGAAAAACAGAAATAGAATAAACATAATCTTGTGCTAAACACTACATAAACTAGAACAGTCACAATAAACATATTGGCAAAAGAACTAACCGCAGGATTGGTGTATGATCTGAGATGTTGGAAAATTAGAATGGTGGAGAGGACTACAGCTATGAAGGCAAAGCAACCTGCAACGATGAGGGCTGGTTGGTGGAGATCTTTGTATGTGGTTTGATAAGCGAGGATATAAGTTGTTTCCATGCCACGTGCATTTTCTAGTGCCAACTCTCCACAGTTTTTTACGAAGACCCGTAGGATAACCAAATCTGGGATATTATGGATACAAAATACAGTTTTTAGAAAGAAAAGCAACATTGTTGGGGAGAGAAGACGAATATGCAATTACTCGGTATTGCTGGTGGTCTCTAGCAATGTCAACACATATGCCACTAAGCTCTCGGGACCGTTGTCTTATTTGTTATTTTCTTTGGTTCTTTGATTGATACCGAGTGCACAAATACAAAAGATTTCATAGAATGGGACATAGGTGTGAGGCCGACCTTTTTGTCTCATATTTGTGTTCCATTCTATGAAAATCTTTTGTGTTCCTAGCATAGCCAGCCAGTTTAATGATATTAGTAGAAAAACTAGGGCACTCTCTCATTGCATTCCTGTTTGTGTATAATTTCTTGGCTTGGTCATCTTTACTTCTCGGAAAGTCCAAATCCAATAGGTCATATGAAGTACTCACTTCTACACATTTATCGAGCTATCTGCACATGTTATCTGCATTTTCCAGTTTCAAGTGCTATGTGGAGAAAAAAAATGTTGTACCAATAATTTTAATAAAGCATGAAATGGATGAAAAGCTCTACATGCGCGATTGTGTGAACTTTTCAAAATTCAAAATTGGTCACTTCCTATTCCGCATTTCACTGACAGATGCTCCCACATCTGTAGAGTATGAAGTGTTTCTAGTTATTATAAAACTTCCCAAATGAGTATTTTTTTTTAGTGTCTGAGCTGAAAGAGGAGGTTCTAAAACAGACCCAGAATTGAACAAGCTACCAGTGTAACCAGTCTATCACAGAATCTCTTTCCTTTTCCCTTTCTATAACATGTTTATCCATATATACATAGACTTCTATATATAAATTTTAGGCGATTTTCTGAATGAGAAATATGGGTTGGTTTTGAAAACTAATTAGTAATTATTTATTGGATGTGGCATGTTTTATTATTTAATCAGCTAGCAATTCTATAAGCATTTTTGGATACTTACCCAAAAAAAGCATTTTTGGAAATCGAAATTGTGTGACAAATCAAAAAAATTCCACAATTGTCATAAATATGTGGGACGGAAGACTACATGTACTTAGGATTACGAGCCAAAAAAAAGACAAAAAATACTTGGATGAGCTTGCAACAAATCACACATGAATACCATTTAATAGAGACCTAAAATGTGTTGCTCTTTCTCATAATTGTTATTTTATTTTTTTTAATTTTTTACCCAGAATTGCATTTACAATGCCCTTATGTGGGTCAGCACAAGTGAATCAAAACAGACCCAGAATTGAACAAGCTACCAGTGTAACCAGTCTATCACAGAATCTCTTTCCTTTTCCCTTTCTATAACATGTTTATCCATATATACATAGACTTCTATATATAAATTTTAGGCGATTTTCTGAATGAGAAATATGGGTTGGTTTTGAAAACTAATTAGTAATTATTTATTGGATGTGGCATGTTTTATTATTTAATCAGCTAGCAATTCTATAAGCATTTTTGGAAATCGAAATTGTGTGACAAATCAAAAAAATTCCACAATTGTCATAAATATGTGGGATGGATGGAAGACTACATGTACTTAGGATTAGTCAGCCCGGACACACTCACGAGCCAAAAAAAAGACAAAAAATACTTGGATGAGCTTGCAACAAATCACACATGAATTAGAGACCTAAAGGGCTTGTTTGATTCCACAAGACTAATAGTGAGGTATAAATAATCCTATTAAATTAGTGTGGTATTCACAATCCCACCCCTACCCCATTATTAATAATCTTACAAATTTGTTGGATTAATTATCCATTGGATTAATAATCCTAAAACAAATTGTCAAAACAAACATGGGATAATTGGACCCACGGATTAATAATCCCAATTCCATGCTCTAATCCTTCCAATCAAACATACCCAAAATGTGTTGCTCTTTCTCATAATTGTTATTTTATTTTTTTTTAATTTTTTACCCAGAATTGCATTTACAATGTCCTTATGTGGGTCAGCACAAGTGAATCACATGAACAACTCCAGAACATACGCTAATGATTACTGTCAAACTATGAGAAATACAAAGTAACAGCAAAAATTGCAATTAATTACAGAGAATTTGATAAATAATACTGGAAATATCAATAAAAGAACTATTTGTTGACCCAAAAATAAAAACAAAATTAAAAAAAAAAGGAAAAAAAAATACCCACCCAGATCAAAACTAGTTACAAAGAAAGGAACACAAATTTGGGTTTGATAATAATTAAATAAAAAACTCACATATGAGAGATTTGGCATTAGAGCTTCATTATTGTGTCTCTAACTTGTCAAATTTTGAATCCCAATGTTTATTGGATACAAGTGTAGATATATAGAGGGGGGCTATACATACAGAAGTGTATATACGTATATATGTACATGTATATATATGTGTATGTATATGTTTGAGTGTGAAGTTGACACGTTTCAGTGACAGAACAATGGCAGTTATAACTGTGACACGTTGGTGAAGATTAAGGCCCACTAACTCTGGGCTGGGTCTGCGTTTGGTGGGCTATCAGATGGACTCTTAACTAGCCCATGGATTTCTTGGACCAACGGATGGACTCACTAACTAGCCCATGTTCAGATGGACTCACTGTGGGCTGAGTTCACGTTTCTCAGCCCAACGGATTTTGGGCCGTTCCAGTCTCACTTGGGCCCATATTAGTCCATTTCCATCATCTATATTTGTCAATTTATAAAAAATATGACATAGATAAGGATAAAGTTTAAATAAACATACAATCTCTAAAAAGGGAAAAAAATTAATTAATTAATAAAACTATGGTTACCCAATTTGGGTATCAAATTTTGATACTATATGATAGGTCATAAACACACTGGTATAGGAAATGATGTGTCTCTAATGCATTGATTAAATAAACTTTATTTTTTGTGTCTTAATAATGTGTTGTTTGCATGTAAAATTTAAGAGAAAAGTTAGGCATCATGAAAATTTTTTCATGAAAATGATCATGAAAGATTTATGATCCTCGGATTACCTTGATTAGTGTGTGGTGCTCTATTCTAAGTGTAATCCAAGGATTACAAAGTTTTCATGATTATTTTCATAAAAGGTTTTTTATGATACCTAGCATTGCTGAAAATTTAATCACTCTAATACTTTTGTCTTGGAAAAAAGTAAAATTGAGGGAAGGGGTAGAATAATAGTGTTTGTTGGTGTGCATCTTTTTTTGGTTGATGCAAATGCAACTTAATCATCATCATTATGTTAATTTTACCGTCAAAATTTCAATTTCTATTGTTTAATTTTGTTGAGGTAATCAGGATTTTAGTAAGTACTGAATACTAATGACTTGATTGAGAGTATTTTTATATTAGTGAACTTGTGATCCGTTACTTTTACTTTTATGTATTTATAGTTGAGCGGAGAAATCGTATATATATAATTTATCACAGTAAAAATTGCATAACATGGATGATGTCTTAATTTTAGGTTGAACCACTTAATATGAGATTCACTTAACATTGGGGAGTTTTTTATTTTTTTTAATATTCTAAAAAAAAAAAAAACAATTTAGAGAATTGATCTACTTTTCAAACTATTTGGAAAACTAACTTGTTTTTTGAAACCACATTTTGAAAATGCGATTTTGAAATTGAAATTGTATTTTTAACATACAATTTCACCTTGAAATCGCATGGTGACAATGCAATTTCAAAACGTGAAATCCATGTCATCATAAATTATATTTTTAACATGCGATTTCAAGGTGAAATTGCATGTTAAAAATGCAATTTCAATTTAAAATTATATTTTGCCTCCGTTTGGGAAGTGGGTTGGCTTTTTGGCTTTTTGACTTTTTTGGCTATTTTAGCCTGGGCTTAAAAGCTTGGTTTGGGAAGGGCTTTTTGGCTTTTTGGCTTTTTTGAGTTTTTTTGTGAGAGAAGAATGTAATGATTATGGGTTGGATGTGATGTTTTATTTGTTATGGCTAAAATAGCCTATTTTGTTTTTTGTGTCTAAAATAGCCAAAAAAACCTGCAAACTCACTTGCCAAACAAAGGCAAAATGTGATTTTAAAAAGCAGGTTAGTTTCTCAAATAATTTGAAAAGTGGGTCAATTTTCTAAATTGTTTTTTTTTAGAATATTTAAAAAAAAAAAACTCTAACATTGGGTCTAGTTGATATATTTATTGTTACAATAGTTACTGTTTATAATATTATACAAAAAATATCACGAGAACAATATGATTGTTACTATAATATAAGTTTTGTTTTAAAGGTGATGGACCAATGAATCTCAAATAGTGATCCTATAAATTGTTTGGTTCTTTATTTTTTTTATGGACTCAAAGGTCCCATCCCATCGTAAATTATATAAAAGGGTAAGCTTAAAACGCACGTGTATTATGTGTTAAGGGACAAATGTAAGTTTTGTCAAAAAGTTACCAATACGTACTATAGACTTTTATGCTCTTCCTTTCTTGATGAACGAATCCCACATTACAAACATGTGAAGATTCCTCAATTCACTGTTGGAAGCGTTGCATTCACAAATGGGAATGATGGATTTCCACTTCCAATTGCCAATTTCACATTGAATTTGTGGTGCAAAAACCCCACATTGTTGAAACCCTATAGTTCACAGTGTCATTTGTTCCATTGATTTGAACATTACAAAAAAAATCTTCAGATGTTAATGGAAACGTGAGATTTGAGTCCATATACGCTGATTGCGTAAAACGAGTTTGGAGATACAAATCCTACATTGGCGAAGCATGAGATTGAATAGACGTAGAATTAGAGAAGTGACTGTTGGGCTGGGTGTTGAAGGTTAATGACAATGAAACAATAAGGTATGTAATGTTTGATTTCTAGATGATCGTAATGTGGAATATTATGTTGGGTTTATTTTGTGGTGGGTTTTAAAAAGATGTATATGTTCAGCTTATGTTAGTTGAATGTTTGTAGTGTTAGTTTGTCCGTTAGGCGTGTTTGATGTCAACGATTTGATATAGTTTTTGTAATGTGATAGTGTCATAATTGAATGTTAGTTCGAATTTAGGTCACCTCTAGTGTTAAAGTAACGCATAAAAATCTTCATGTTTTTACATTTTGGTGCCCTATTTTGTTGAGCAATGGGTTGGTGATGTTCACCCAGCCAACATTATCAAACAAATATCTTGCACAAGTTAACATTCCATTCCTATTACAAAAATCGAATCAAACATTAGATCAAAATAAATCACAAAAGGGTATTGATGTCAACTCAAATGGTATCAAA